ACAAGGTTGCTGTTTTAATAAACACTGATGGTGCAGCGCTGTACTGTACCTCTTTATATAGGCATTTATTCCCTAACAAATAGTTTTGCGCTGATCAGGGGGTACTTGGCTGCATTTTTTTTTCAAAAGGGTTACATTATTGAAAAAAGTTTGAGATTCACTGTCTGATGGTGTTACTGCTCATGTTCCCAGTGTATTCTTTCTGCTATGGGAAGGATTTGCATAAAACAAGATGTGATTAATGCTTTCAAATGCTATCCCCTCTCATTTTGCAGTTGGAATATCTGTCATCACAGTTAGTCATTTGTTCCATATTGTGCAGCCCTAACCTGAACACAGCTAAATATATACACCAAAGATTATAATATCTAATGAAAACATGATATTGAGCACATCTCCAGTAAGCTCCCCTTGTTCGAGTGCTTTCTGAGCGCATCATCTATTCTAAAACGCCCTACAGAAGCACATGCACACCTCCACACTGCACGACCATCAGCAGCACTCTGCCAGGGTCCAGCAGAACATTACCCCGGGCAGTCATACAGTGACACTGCGATGACACCGGAGTGTGTGTGTGTCAGCTCTCCTGGGACAGGACACTCTCCCTTAGCACAGATTGGAGGTGAGACCTTGAAGAAAAATGATTACTTTTATGTTTGCTTTATGGCTCATTTTTCACATTAAACGCAGAAAATCTATTCAGAGGTCACAGAATTCCTGCGTCTCTTGGTCAGCCAGAACTAATTCTTGCAGCTCCCGGTATCGATAAAGCATTCAGCGGAGCACAGTGTGCAGGCTATGTACTGCAGCGCTCAACTCTCTATTTTCCAGCAGCCAGTCTATTGGGACTTGTTCAGCCCACATCTGCTGGGCTTTTGGAAATGTCAAATACACACTTGTAGGAACACACACACACACACACACACACACACACACACACACACACACACACACACACACACACACACACATACACACCACACACACGCACAAGCACAGAATCAGTGTGCCCTTATTGGTGTAGCCAAAACGACTCGTGATAAGAGATAGCATTGCCACGAGGAGTCATAAAACCCCAGCTTTTATGGCGCGTATTGTCTTTGTGTCTACAATTATGGTGATTACTCATTTCCCATAACCCCCCCACACCGTGGCCCTCGTGGTGCACTTAATAGACTGCATTTTACTAATGGAAAATTAAGTAGCCGCCGTGGCAGTGGGGTTTATAAATATGTAAAATATACTTTTAATTATTTCAAGTGAATCTGGCAGCTAATCAATAAAGAGGGACGTGACAAACATACGTTTGACACAGGCCATTGTAAAGCGACCGGTTAAAGATAAGCATGGCCTGTCAGCGCAGTCCGGCCCTAATGAATATTTTGAGCCTGTCATGTAAGGAGACAAATGGATTAATTGCGCCCTGCTAATATAATAGCTTCTTCATGAAGAGTGCAGCAGGGAGGCAGAGGGGAGGGGGCAGCAGCTGCTAGCTCCTGAACCTCCACGTCAAATAAATATTTATTAGGGTGGAGGGTTAAGTAGATTTTTGCGATTACACGGATAGCCACTTAAGCGTAGTTGTTTATCATTTATTTGAAAATTGATTCATGCCGATTTGTTTAATGTCATTTTCATTTTTTATTTGAGTTTGTAGCAAAGAGGGATGAGCCTAAAGAGAGATAGTATCAGAGAGGGAATACAGTTCAGGCTTTCATCATTTATTTCTGAAGTGCTTCTGTTGTTTTCGCAGTTGAAGACATTCCTTAATCAGGATTTGGGGTCAAGTAGAGATTTGAAAACTGCTTGATAATTTTCTTTTTGAAAAGAATATTCCTTTTTCTGATTTTGCAGAACTAAATGTGAAATATCTTTCTTTTTTTTGGTCGGTACGACTGCCAAAAACATCTATTCCTTTATCGATGAATCTGCCCGGTATATTTTCAATTATATTTAGTCAATGATACGTCAGAACATTGTGAAAAGTGTTTACCCAAGTGCCTCAATGTGCTATCTTTAAATGTCTTGTTTGTCCAAAACCCAAAGATATTCACCCTAATATGATTTGAACAGAAAAGGAATCTCTGTAATTGAGAGGCTGAAAACAGCATTTGTTGCATCAACAGAAATGACTTTAATGATTAATCAATGAAATACTAAGCAACCAAACATTTTGTTGATTAGTTCTCTGTCGATTGATCAGTCGGCTATTAGTTCCAGCTCTATATATTTCAGATAATAAATATATACACAGAGAATAGCAGGACAACTTTATATAAATATTCAAGCAGCAGAAAGTCATTTTTTCTCAATATTCCCATTATCCAATGATTTCATGATTTCCTTATTTCTAAAGATCTGTAGGTATTCATTATGCAGCTAATCAATACATATTGTTCTCAGCAGGAGCACTTTGACTTTTCACAGAAATTGCACTTGTGTTGTTTACTATCTAATACCTTGACACATATATCATTTTATCTCCATGTGTCATATTTCAAAATAGTCATTTTTCCTTCACTGCCCACTGAAATGTTTACACAGACAGCATCAGTTAGCATAGTGGCAGCGTTTTGACAAATAGCACGGTTTCCCCTCCCTCCGCCTGCTCTGCTATCCATCTCTGTCTCCAAGTCTGTTGTCGCCACTTTAAGGTGAAAGAGAGCATAAAAGACAAGCGAGCACCAATATGTGTTCGGGGGCCTTCCTGGAACCCGTCCTCTCGCGATGGGAAGCTGTGACCTTGAGTCCTGCCTTCGCCCAGCACCGTCCCCTCTCCCCTCCCCCTTTCCCTCTGTCCTCTGGAGAAGGAATGAGTCAGGCGGGGGGGGGGGGGGGGGGGGGGAAGCGCGGCGGAGGGGATCGGGGTCACCAGCCGCCGTTCTCATCAATTAAATGTGCGACAGTGTTTTCCGTCGGCTGAACTTATATGTCAAGGAGATGGGCAGGACCTCATGTTTGTGCTTTTGACAAATCAGCAAATGTTTAATCTCAAGATGTGCCGGCGCTCATAAATAATGCAGAGGCCGGAGCGAGAACTCTCCCACCGCGCAGAGAGGCGTCTGCACCCGGCCTCAATGAGAGAACACGGGGAAAAGCTCCCAGACTAAATCCTTTTCTTCTACACCAGTCTCCTCCTCCTTTTGATCACACCCCTTTAATCCCACCTCACCACTCCTCTTTCTTCTACTGTACCTGACTCTTCTACCTTTGCAGCTTCACTGTACTATCTCAGCCTAATTATTTCTCTCTTGTTTGATTTGGAAGTAAAAAAAAACAACATACTCCTCACCCTCTTTGAGCAGAATGATCCCTATCCCAACGTCTGCTATCTCCCAGACAGGGGATTGAGCTTGAGCTTTGCCTCCATTTGCCCTAAATGTAAAGAGGGCAAGTGTAGTGGACTGTGAACCGCATCCAATCCCCCTCTGCGCCACTCGCACTTCTTCCCACAGACTTTGATTGGCTCGTCCGCCGACTGGGAACGTTTCCTGATTGTTCACAGGGAAAATTAAGATTTTAAGCCTATTGAAGTCGATCTGTGCTCATTGAAAAGTCCATCTGAATGTGTCCTTTTGAGAGCTCAAATTGTTGACTCGTCACGTTAGAAGACTCGGTGCCCGAGATCACGGAGTGTACTGTACCAGAGCACGCTGCACCTGTTGGTGTGTAGTCCCGGGGGCTTCCCATTGGACGTGTGCTGTGGAGTGTGTTAAAGAGGCTCCATCAGCCCACTTCATTAGCCCAGCATTCGCACATCAGGTCAAGCCTTCGCACGCTTGGCATGAAAGGGTTATGAACAGGGTTCTTGGACACTGAAAAACTGAAACGTTGACCTTAATTAAATGTATTATCTCAACAGGTTAGTTGAAAGCAATACTATTAAGTTAATTTAAGTTGAACCTAATAATTTTGATTTTATCTTAATGTTATTGCTATTATTTGTATTTCTTTTCATGAATCATAATGACACGTTTACCAGTTTCCTTAAACTTCTTACTGAATCAACCTAGTACTTTAACCATCAACTGAATGTGTATTAAAAGGAGATCAAGGCTTAAAGTTCATACCATTTTTCACATGTTTTTATTTTTGAACAAGCAGAAAAAGAAAAAATACATCTGTATACAAAGACATGCTGTATGTACACATGAATTGTTACATGTAGCCTGCAGATGAATTCAAATGTCAAGTTCTACCCACACAGCACTTTGCCTTCTGGGTGAATTCCTTATTATTTAACCTTTCATATTTCAATGCAATGGTGCAATGGTAACCACATTAGCCACTGCCAGCTCAATCTTAATACCTGAGAAAAATGTGATAAACTGTCGCTTTTCAATGGGTTGGCAAAATGGTGGGAAATGTTGTGTTTTTGGAATTAAACCTTAATGTAATAAATGTAAATGTAACCTTAAGTATGGTTGCTTTCCACTTCTACTTTTAAAAGTAGCGAGGTAACCCTAACCGTTACCCTAAGTATTTTTTTGGCCTACACTATTTTCATTCTACCCTGTTATGTGGAGAATCTTGATAAATCTCATCTGTCTTGATACGTATCCTGTAGGCGCATCCATATCCTTTAAAGAAATGAAGCCAAGCATTCTCATATCGGGGCACTCTTGACATGAAATGGTTCTGAACAGGGTTCTCTAAAACCAGAAGAAAAATGTGATAGCTTTTAAACAGGTTGGACATTTGGCAAAGGTGTTGGGAAATGGGTTCTAAAGATCCAAAAAAGACTTGTTTTTGGAATTGAACCTTTATCAAGAATATGGTGGCTTTCTACTTCAGCTTTTCAAAGTAGCGGAGTAACCCGAACTGTTTTTTCTCCTACACTAGTTTTCTCCTACCCTATATGTGGAGATTCTTGATGAATCTTGTCTGTCTTGATACACATCCTGTAGCGTATCCAGACCCAGTAAAGAAATAAATATCTCTGTATGGAACCATTGACGGAAAACGTGTCCAATCTCACACATGCTTGTTTCCTCCCGCAGGCTCTGGGAAGTTTCTACTTTATCCACGAGTCGTTGAAAAACATCCAGCAGTTTGATTTCAAAGGTGAGTAACCCCCGCTCGCAACACACTTCCACATATACATCATCCCCACTGTGTGGAAATGAAATCCTCACTGCGTGCCCCCTAATCCCACCCCTGCATATCCCACACAACCATTTGCAGGCTATTCCCGCTTCCATCAGAAAGCAGCGTGCTAAGATTGGCTTTGAGGATAATGTAAAGGGAGGGGGACAGAATGGTAATGCTTATTAATATTAGGATTTAATTCATAAGATTTCGGGCCTTCAGTAATGGTGTGAGGCGGGTTATTGGACAGTTACGGCGGTCTCATCAGGCTGCGGTGTCAGAGGGCCCCGGGGGCCGGCGGCCGCGCTAATTAAAGAAGGGATATAGATGTGGAGGAGCCTCGCTTCTTATTAGACCCAAGTCAGCATTAGTACCAGTTACCCCAGTGAAGGACAGGGCGACGGCAGGGGGGGGGGTCGAGAGGGGAGAGGACCACTCCTCATGTACACACACACACACACACACACACACACACACACACACACACACACACACACACACACACAACACACACACACACACACACACACACACACACACACACTTTAAAGATCAGAAATATATGAACTACAAAACATTCTGTAATGCTTTGTTTACTTTTTCTTTAATAGGTCACTTCAGTCATATTGTCTTGTGATAGGGTTAGGGTTGACAAGAGGAAAAGAATAGCACAGGTGTTATTGAATCTGTTCAAAATGTCCAAGTATGTGAAAGTGAACCAGCATACACGATACCAGACATCTGACAACGAGTCCCGATGCACTATGGATGTATGGAACTTGATTTTTAGGCATTTCCCGTTCTTGATAAGTATGGAAAACAGATAAGAGTGTATGTCAAATATCTGTTTGCGGACTATTTCTCCTATTTTGTTTTCTAAAGTATAGAATTCCGAATTAAACTGATCAGTTTGAGTGTTTTTCTTGGTGTTAGAAGCAAAATGTCGGTCCCTGTTTGACAGAGCACAGGCTAGAGCATCTTAATATCACGAAAGGAACAAAATGCATGGTCCTTCAAAGAGCCCGCCTCAGAGTCACAGTCTACAAAACAGTTCTGCCCCCAAGTGAAAGGGTTAGGTCAAAATAGGCCACTATGGTTAACTGCAAGTTTTCCAAAACAATATCAAATATATATAAACCCATATATAAAGACTGGTTGGCCAAAGATTCCAAAAGGTAAAAGAAAGCTTGATGCAAACTTTGTCTAAGATCATTCAACATGGGTTAGGGTTGGGGGAGGCCATATGCAAGGGAATAGGCACTGCACCAACTATTTATTTACAAACCTCTAGCTATTATACTGCAATGTCAAATATGGTCTAAAAAAAATCTAGCAGTCTGGAAATGTGGTTCTGGACAAATTCCAGAAATGCTGATATGGAAACCGTTGGAACCCTGTAAATGGAAAACAGCCATTTGTTCATGCTTTTTCTACTGTGTCTTAAATGATGGAAAGAAGGAACATTGATCTTATGTATTGGCAGTTCTCCCTCACATCACTCTGCGTTGCATTCAAAATCACAAATCAATATTCAATACCCTTCAAGAAAAGGATGTACCATCTCCAATGACAGACAGACATGCATTAGGAGTCTTTAAGGTAGACCTGGGTTTGGCACAGGTATCGTGTTAACGTTGCAGGAAATACAGAGGGATGTGGACATGTTCAGGGTCATATCCCCCCCCCCCTGTTAATACAAAGAAAGGCTTCTTATCTTCCCAGTGTAGTGACCTCTCACACTCACCTATGTTCAGATACAGATGTTCTTCATTCTGACCAGCAGGTGGTGCAGTTGTCTGAGGAAGCTGTATCGGGATCATACAGGGGTCTCAAAATGAACCATGTTTGTAACAATACACTCCCTTTTTCTCCCTTTCTGTCCTCACATCCTTCCCCCTTTCCTTCTATCTCTTCAAAATCCACTTCAGCCAAGAAATTCAAGAAGGTCGTGGGGAAGGAAACGTACTCGGAGACACTAGAAAGCACCCCCTCCCTGGAGAAGGAGAAGTTTCCCCAGGACTACTTCCCTGAGGTGGGTAATACTGAGCACACTTTACTCACTGATGTCATGTGATGACAGCTTCCTGCTGAGACGTGCTGTGACAAAGGAACACATTCAGTATGCAGGTTTAATAAAGCTGCTTATTTAAAAAATGAAAAGGAACCAACCAGTTGTTAAAGTACAGTAGCCTTTGGCCTCAAACCAATGCATTTGGATTGACCTATTGAGTAATTAAATGCTAAACTTCACTTAACACAATAACTAGATTTATTTGACATAGTTCTTTCAAATTAATTTCCCAAAGCCATTTAGTTTTTAGTATATCTTATTGATTTAGAGTAATTTTTCTTCCTAGTTCAAGGAAATCGACAAAGATTTCACTCATTTGAAGACGAATACAATACCCTTTGGACTGAGCTAATGAATGTTGATGTTTTGAATGAAAAAGTAGTCCTATAATCACTTGATCTATTGAGTTTTTCAATGCCAAACTTCATCATTTCCCCCCAAAACTAGATTTATTTTTTAGTACTTTTTATCAAATTAATTTCCAAAAGCCATTTCGTTTTTTGTGTACAGTATGTTCCTGATTTGGAGTCGTGTTTTTTCCCAGCTCACACACGGCTGATTTGAAGACAAATCAGTCAAAAAGAAATGAAACGCTGACGGAGAAAGTCCTGACTATGTCCCGCGCTGCAATTCTCCGCTCGCTGTGTTTCTGGTTCTGTGTTATCAGAGGGAGCTGAGCATGGCTGTGCTGATATAGTAATAAAGAGCAGGACCGCCGTGTGTCATCCCTGCACTCCCCACTCATCTGTCAACCATGCTCCGACGGCCCCCCGAGCAAATATATGCAAAACAGATGGATACGGCCCCTTCACACACTTCCCCCCAATTTCCGTCTCTTTCACACACTGCACGACTCCCCACCCTAGACACGCACACAAACATCTCCCACTTTCCCATTCCACAGATGATCTAAAACCAATTACACTGATTGAGGCGCAAAGCCATTTAAAATGATTACAGCAGAAAGCATTGTTCTGCGTTTAACGGGACAAGCACCGAAAACCACAAAACAAACCTGGCAGTGTGAGAGGGATGAGGGGAGTGATGTAGGGAGAAAGAAGGTGTGTGTGTGTGTGTGTGTAAGGGGGGGCAGCAGATGAGAAAAGTTTTGCCCGGTGATTTATGCCTCTTTCCCGGCTGGGATATGAATCTGGGATGATGCTCCAGAGAGCAGCACTCCAGATAATGTTAGCCCATTTAAAAAGAGCAGATTTGTGTAGTCTATCAGGGTCGCCGAGTATTTTTTTTTCTCCCTCCCTCCCTCCCTCCTCCGGCCCCTCCGTAGTGAGAAATTGGTTGTTATCATAGATCACAGATACTGCTCAAACCTCTTATGAAAGATGAATTAATTTCACTAATGCTTTAATGCAAAGCTCTCATGAGGGAGGCAGACTGGTGATAACCCCTGCCTCGTCCCCGCTTCCTCTGCCCGTGATTTATGCCCTCTTTTAGTAGATGAAACCGCCTAGATTTGCCATCCATCTGCAGCTTTGAGGAATCCTATTACACAGGGATCTTGGGCCGGACAGAACGCCACCCAAACCAGTTGCTCGAGTCCCAGCTCTCCATTTTTTTTATTCTGAAAAAGAAGATGTGTTTTTGTAAATAAACGACAACTCATCCATAGCCATAGTTGAGTAGTGTATTTGTATTTTATTTTATTTGGAAAGATATCCCAACTGAGTAAATGACAACAAACACAGAGGACAGGTGTCTTGTTTACACGTTCGTAAGTAATTCTCCAAAAATAAACCTGTGTTTTTTCAATTCAACCTACATTAACATTATGATAGCTTTCTACTTTAGCATTTAACAGTAGCAAGGTAACCCTCACTCTTTTCATCCTGATAGAGGACCCAAAGCCCTTCAGTGCTGTTATGTATTGTACCAAATGTTATTCCTCAGACGACAGGCATCTAAATGTATTTGCTCATTACTATGTCCAAAAAACAGATGTCTTTTTGGAATATAACCTTAATCAAAATGATGGTGCTTTTCTTCTTCATCTTATAAAAGACGCACCTACCCCAACTCCTTTTTTCCTCCAACACTTATTTGATTCTGAATTCAACGACAACCCCTCCGAAGCTTTCAATGAGTAGTGTCAAATATCACAACTTACCTTGAATTGAATTGACTCAGAGGACATTCTTGTTTACATGCTTATTACTAACTCAGAAAAATTTAGCCTAAATGAAAATGATTCCTATTTCAGCTTTTATTAGTAGCAGGCTAACCCTACCCTGAAGACCTTTTTCTCTTTGTTTGATTGTGATTGAAGCGACAGCCCCTCACTACTGTAGATTTGGATAAGTGGTGTTATGTATCGTACCAAATTGGGAAGTTACCCCAACTGATTTATTTACAACAAAGACACAGAAGACATGTGTTAACATGCTCACAACTAATTCTCAGAGAAAGATGTGTCTTCGGAATTGAAACCTTTATCAAGATTTAGTTGGCTTTTTAGTTCAGCTTTTCAAGTAGCTCGAACTGTGAAATCACTTCCCTAACCGTAACCCCTTTTCCTCCTACACTAGTTTGATTTGGATTCAGGCCACACCCCCATAGCTTTAGATGAGTTGTGGTATGTTACACATTTGGAAAATAATCCAACTGAATTATTTTCAACTAAGACTCAGAGGACAGGTATATTGTTTATCATAACTAGTTCTCAAAAAAAGACATCTTTGGAATTGATGCAGTTTTCCAGACAGAATCCTGAGAGAAGGTTAGAGAGTGACAGCTGCTGGGAGACGGATGTGTGTGTGTCTCTGCTGGGAGACGGATGTGTGTGTGTCTCTGCTGGGAGACAGATGTGTGTGTGTCTCTGCTGGGAGACAGATGTGTGTGTGTCTCTGCTGGGAGACAGATGTGTGTGTGTCTCTGCTGGGAGACAGATGTGTGTGTTTATCTTCTGGGAGACGGGTGTGTGTGTTTATCTTCTGGGAGACAGATGTGTGTGTTTCTCTTCTGGGATACAGGTGTGTGTGTTTCTCTTCTGGGAGACGGGTGTGTGTGTTTCTCTTCTGGGATACAGATGTGTGTGTTTCTCTTCTGGGATACAGGTGTGTGTGTTTCTCTTCTGGGATACAGATGTGTGTGTTTCTCTTCTGGGATACAGGTGTGTGTGTTTCTCTTCTGGGATACAGATGTGTGTGTTTCTCTTCTGGGATACAGATGTGTGTGTTTCTCTTCTGGGATACAGGTGTGTGTGTTTCTCTTCTGGGATACAGATGTGTGTGTTTCTCTTCTGGGATACAGATGTGTGTGTTTCTCTTCTGGGATACAGGTGTGTGTGTTTCTCTTCTGGGATACAGGTGTGTGTGTTTCTCTTCTGGGATACAGGTGTGTGTGTTTCTCTTCTGGGATACAGGTGTGTGTGTTTCTCTTCTGGGATACAGGTGTGTGTGTTTCTCTTCTGGGAGACGGGTGTGTGTGTTTCTCTTCTGGGAGACGGGTGTGTGTGTTTATCTTCTGGGAGACGGGTGTGTGTTCCTCTGCTCTTCTCTTTCCAGTCCCCTATTAATAAAGTGTCAGTGATGCTGATGACATCATGGTGGGAGGGCTCGTGCATGCTTGTGTGTAAAAGAGAAACCAAATGTCATCAGTACGTTCCCTCACACTGAAGCGGTGTGTGTTTGAACACATGGAGATTCTGTCTGCAGGTTGCAGATATTTGAATGATCAATTGATCTGCAGCATTGCTTTCGAAATCAACCAACAACAACAATATTCCAGAAGGAAAAGTGATGTCCACAAACTGCTGATTTTGTCTGCAACCTAAAGATGCTCTATTTACACTCAATTAAAAGAGCAGGACATACTCATGCTTACCAGCAACTGTTTGTGCATATACATTGCTTGAAAGGAATACAAGAACACTTTATTGAAATATTTTGGATTTAAAGAAAATATTTGTATTTCACAAAAAGTGAAAAAATGCATAGACTTAGAGATATATATATATATTTAAATATATATATATTTAAAAATGGTCATGAAAGACAAATAATAAAAAAATAAATGATTACAAAAAAATCCAAAAAATCATTAACACCACTAAAAAGGCTATTACAAATAAAACAAAGCTGTTACCAATATCATATGAAGGGGAAAAAAACATTAAAAAGTCACCAATTCAACCGTCATATGGTTTATTTTCCTGCACGTCTCACATTAATTGGAGAATTGTTTACCTTTAGTGCAAAATGTTTCACATAATATCCAACTGACGCTGAAAGAAATCAGAAATGAAGGTAAACTAAGATCTCTATATTATTTACTGCACTTAAAGCATCCATTTTCAATGAAGCTATGTCATGTGATGATGGCTTTCTATTTCATCTTTTAAAAGTGGCTCAAACTCAATGTCATAACATAAAATAGTGGGTAAAGTCAATTCCCCCTGCTGCTTGTGGCTCTTTTCTTCTCCTACGCTCGTTTGATTCTGATTTAAGCGACAGCCCCTCCATATGCAAAACACCAGTTCTCTCCGTAATCCCACCCTGAGTTATGGCTGTAAGTGAAGGAGAGGGAAGCAGGGACATGAATTGAAATGCTGAATAAGAAGGAAGTGGACAAAATCGCGGGTGCATTCCTTTTGAAAGATCGCCGTGATGGATTTGGGCGCTTGTCGTTTCCCGTTGTTCCGTCAATCTCTCCACCTCCCCAGCGAGCATAAATATATTTATTTGTTTGGCGCAGTAATACATGCCTCCAAAAGCCATTGCATCATACAGATATGTCATTGCCTTATATAAATAAAGTATACGACCCAGACCTTAATGTGCCCTTGCTATTGATCGTTTTACACAGCCGTAGGAAGAAAAAAATAAAAGCAGAGGGAACTGAATAGCGGACAGGCTGTAGATCAACATCCATATGAGTTTGTATTTGTTGTTTGGCACCACGGCGTCTCCATAAAAGCATTGACTTCTCATACCCTTTTAGTGCCCTCT